GAATTTATGAACTTGATGAGCTTTTTCTCTAGCTTTACAACAACTTTTTTTTCTACCATCCAGATAATGAATGTGGGTGTTTGTTTTAAACAAAGCAGCAAGCAAGTAATGGATCATATACCACATGTGTAACGAATCAAATTGCATGAGAAAATCAGTCCCGATTTGATGGACAATTCCATCTATTCCAGACGAAATGTAAAGTAGCCTTGGATATTTGAGCTGAAACGTAGGAGGGGGAGAGAGACAGAGGCAGAGAGGTTTGTCAAAGAGCTAGGAGTGTCGCGTGGACATCAAGTATTAATATAAGGCCACAAGTGATGATTCCTACATAAGTTGTAGTCATCAGCTGCACTCCCTCAACTCCCAGTCCCAAGTTTCAATCTTTTCTTCTTGAGTTCTTCTTATTCTTCCACAGTAGAAGATTGAGTTAATTATTCGTGGGTATAAGAGATTTGAATGAAACATATGATTGAGTGATTGTAGTTGTTAATGAACATGAGAAGAGGAATTCTGGCTCAAGAGAGTTTTTGCTACCAAGAGGAAACCCAACTTACGATGATCAAAACGTTTCTTTTCTTCGCCGACGACTTCTCGGTCTACGATTCCAAATCCAAGCTTCTCTTTCATGTCGACTCTTACGGTCTTGATGTCCGAGGCAAAGACGAAGTCAACAGTCACACTTCCTCTGATTTGTGCTCATCCTCCATCTCCGTCAGTCTGTCTTCGGCATTTGAATATCCATATCTATTAATTGAAGCTTAACCTGTAAATCATGGGTTCATTGTGATAAATCCTTCTCCTCGAGTGAAGCATCAGAGCTATTGCCAGCAAGGCCAAACAAGAAAACAAAAGGGTAAAATGGGTATTTAAAGGAAATTGATACATCGGTCTAATGTTTTCTGTCTGGGTTAGTGACGGAAGGGAAGCTTTTGTCAAATTCTTGGGAGTTTTTTGTTAAATTGAAGCTATAGGGGAGATTTTTATGATTGTCAAAAACTTTAGGCCAGGTTTTTGTATTTTATCCTATTATTTATGAAACAATAATAATTTTTTTTCCATGCTTTAGTTTTGAAACACAATACACATACAACTAATAACATATTTTCTACGTTTTTGTTTATGAACCAGTTTGCTTCCAAACCAGATGGTTTTTTATTTGGTTTCGGGCCCCCAAATCCCAACAAGAAAAAACCATTCATTTTGGAGCACAAACCCTTATTTAACATCATCATCATCCAAGCCGTTTCACCATTATGTTCTCTTTTATGCCACGTTTATTGTTAAATTATGATCATTTAATCATTTTTCGCTACTTCCATCCATGACCCTTTTAGTCTAGCCCAAAGGCCCCTAACCCTTTTAATCCATTCAGTATATGTTTGGTATCGATGTTGCAACAACACTTAATCGTTGCTGATGCGTGGGTTGGAAGCACCATTTTTTGAGAAAACGATATTTTTTTTTTGTTTGGAAATATTGCTGCCAGGTAGGACGTTTCTTGGAGTAACAACAAAGTTTTCACTTTGATACCAATGCTCCAAGAAACATTTTCAGCACTGGTACCTATTATCCAGTGCCATGTCATGTCCTTGTCATTGCTACCTCATGTCCCAGTTAGACCTGTTCATGGGCCAGGTGGCCCGACGGGCCGGCCCGACCTGGCCCGGTTCCTGGATGGGCTTGAACAGGTATATAGGCCTGTGGGCTTAATCTCTGACCAAAAAGCCCGACCCGCAATAAATTCGAGCCGGGCTCGGGATTTGCCAAAATAGCCCGGCCCGACCTATAAATAAACCTAAAAACCCTAGTTGAATACCCATCTTTTTTTCACCTCTTTCCCTTCTTTTTCCAACCAAATTCTTCTTCTCCACATCCTCTTTCCCTTCTTTATATATATATTTTTAATATAAATAAATTTTGAATTTATTAATTTTTTTAATGTAAATAAATTCTGATTTATATTGATTATTGAATAGGGAAAATTTCTAATTTTTTTTATTAGGTCGGGCTTCGGGCTCGGGCTCGGGCTTTTTATTAGGGCCGGGCTTGGGCCCAAGTTGTAGGCCCATTGGTCGGGCCGGGCTCGGGCTCGGGCCTAATATATTTATGTTAGTGAAGAGTAAAAGCCCGGCTCGGCCCATGAACAGGTCTAGTCCCAGTTGATAGCAATGAGCTGCAGCTCCAGGAAACGCCAAATTCGATGTTGCTCTAAGTCATGCCTTCCCGATTTCCAAGGCATGGCTTGGAACACCATTTTTTATGGAAAAACGGTTCCAAACAAATAGGCGTTTCCTAAAGCACTATTTTTTCTAACGTGTCACTGATGTGATGTTGTTTTCTAGAGTAATGACATCAATGCCAAATAGACGTTCAAATTGCAATAGATCACAACCAACCCCTTATTTAGCAAGCAAATAAACAATGCATACACACACACACACCATCTCTCTTACTAGAAACAATATATGGCTTTAACACTTGTAAACAACTGCCATGAAATGAGAGATGATTTCATTGAGCAATACATTAATAATTTAAACGGAAAAGTACACTACACTACAGAATTTTGAATTCCAATGCAACCCTACATAATTCAAAATGATAAACACCCTCGCCCTAAAACACTAATACTCGCCTGTGTATTATCATCAATTCCGAATAGGCACCTACCCCAACTGTAGTGTAGGGCTAAGAATTCTTAGGATGTGCTGAACAGTCATTCTCCCTAATTTAAAGGTTACATTTATCTTAAAAATTAAAAGAGCATATTTGTTATTTGACAAAATTGTTAAAAGTTATAACAAGGTTTAAAGTATGGATACAGTCTAATACGCCAAACAGGGTCTATCGGACTTTGAAATTACATGCTTTTAATGCGCATGAAGAGTACGCTGACTTTTCACTTTCAAGCAATTTGGGGGAAGATTACCACTTAAGATGGCCACTTTGAGATGGTCTATAGGGAAGTGCTTTCTTATGGGAGGAACAATTCTCTTAAATTGATGGGCCAAGTAGGAAAACAAAGACAAGAGGAGTCAAAATTGAAGGTTCTAATGGATCTCATATTCTCATTACATTTTCTATTTGTGGTCTTTTTTGCTCACTCAATTGTTAGTTCTATTGATTGACAGGTGGGTCTGCCGAGTAATTTTTATTATACTCGTTTCAAGGCTTTGTTTGGCCACTATTCAAAAATTTAGTCATAACACTAAAGTTGGTTTATAATTCACAGTGATTTGAGCCATTATACTTTTATTGGGTTTTTTTTTGTGTATTATTTTTATAATTGAAATTCAATAATAATTCAAATATGTTATTTTGATAACAATATGATAAATATACATAAAAAATCTACACGGGGGAAAAACATGATACCAAAAGGGCTTTGGCCAATCAAACACCCCACCTTATTGATTATCACTTTTATGATACCGGTTGATTGGTTACAAGTTTTTTTATAATTGAATCACAAATATACATGTAATGGTAATTAGAAAAAGGGAAAATTTATGATAATGGAAATGCAATGTATTGGAAGTGTAAGGTGAGCATCGTAAAGATGGTCTGAACCTAAAAAATCTAAGGGATTGGTTTTAAGTAAAAAGTAGAAAAGGGAGAAAGATTTAGTGGCCAAACCCCCGGAGGGGCTGCCTACATATCAGGTATCAGCTCACTGTAGTTCGTTCAGCAGCGCTTAAGAGGTAAAAATGGTGGGCAATGGGAGAAAACTGATATGAATGAGGGAGAGAGGGGAAATGTGATAGAGCAATAGTTGTGCTTTTCCCATTTTACCCTCTTATTTTAGAATGTTCTTTTCACACATTTAAAATATATGGGAAATATTTTTTTTTTTTATAATTATCTTGTTAATTTTCATATTTACCCTTTTGCCATTTAAATCACATATCTATTTCCATTATTGAATATGTTTAGCTGGATTTATTTTTAAAATACATTTATTATGCTCATGCTTATTCTTATTCAAGAATGATTTATTGGTTTCTAAAATATTCACTCCTTAATTACGCATTATTTTTGTTATTGTGATGAAATATTTAACACTTGTATTTAGTAAAATAAGCTGAATTGACCTCCCTGATTGGTTGAATTGTTTACCACCTTCTTACTAAGAAGAGCTTTAACCAATCAAAGTACCCCATCTTTTTTTTATCATTAGTATCGTAGTCAAACCCAAAAAAAGAAAAAAGAAAAAAGAAAAAAGAAAAAAGAAAAAAAGAAAAATTCAAATCAGTCTAACCAATGTTGTAAGACTCGACCTAGATCGAAGTTTGGACCGTAAAAAAAGATGGGAACCAGTGGCCTTTTTGGGTTCTGATTAAATGACGGTTTGACGGGTTTTTAATGGGCTGAACGGATTAACAGCCCGATTAATCGGCAAAACCGGGTCCATTGAAACATTCCGGTTCAAGGCTTTGTTTTTAAAGCCAGTCCGGTTCAAGTCTTACAACATTGGGTATTGGGCCTGATTTACTTCCGAAGCATACATGACTGTGCTAGGCTTCTAGGCCTAAGACATAATAAGTCAATAACTGGACCCGGTTTACTTAAGGTGACCGTTACGTATGAAATAAATTTATTTTCTGTTAAGTTTTGAAATTTAAAATATTGGCGGTGAAAGACATAAGATGATAAGAATGAGAAGCTTTCCCGCCACTTGACCCAATCAGCCAAATAGGAAACCGACGTGTCATAGACCGGATATACCAGTCGCCGATTTGACTCATCAAAACACGGGTCAACCTGAATCTCCGTAAATCTGTTTCCTTATTGATGCAGGATTTATTGGACAATTTTACCCTTCATGCATCGAGTATTTACGTATAATAAGCAATTAATTCGTTTTCAGCTATGAAGAAAGCACTGCATCTTTTGGCTTTCGAGGTCGACTGAACGAGTCAAGCGAGTGAACTCGGACGATTGGAGCTCATAAATGGGGGAAGTGGGTTCCGATTCGTACGAGCCACGTATAGTTACAATTGGCGGTAAAGGTTCACTCGGTGGGAGAGAGAGTGGGAGGCCGTTGGCCTCTCTCCAACTAGAATTAGGGCATTAACAGCACGAACTCCTTCCTTCTCCCCAAAACTCGTCATTCCGATTTTCTCTTAATCTCTCTCTCTCTCTCTCTCTATCTTTTACATTCTTTCTATTTCTCTGTATCTGAGAAATAGTAAGGAGTAAGGATGTTTTCAATGGCGATTTTTTAATCCTAAGATTGTAAGAACACTCGATGAAACTTCTATTTAGCTACTTCATGTTTATCAATGACGGATTTATGTTTCGTGCTAAAAAAACGGCAATAGATTAGCAGTTTTTCTTTCCTTTTGGGGCCACTGAACGGTATTTGATTTGATTGTTATTGGCAGGGGACCGGTTGTGATTTTGCTCTGGAGGATCTGAGGAAAGCCTGGGTCTTTAAGGGAATCGTTCTAGGGTTTTGTTTGTATTGATTGGGAGGAAGGCGGGATGCAAAGAGGATTGATCGGGATGGAGAGTTGTATGGAACACTGATTATTGCAAGGAAGGGGTTTCTGTTTAGGGCTTTTGCGTGGTTGATGATGGAGAGTGAGGAAGTAGTATCAGAGGATCGTGTGAGGAAGAGGATAAAGATGGGGATTGGAGATGAGGGTGTTGATAGAACCGAGGGGTTAGATAGTAGAGGGAGGGTTGAGACGACGGCGAAGGCTTTGGTGGGAAGATATGTGATGAAGGAGTTTGCAGCGAATGGGGTTTTCCTGGGGAAGCTTGTTTCTTGTGGTAGTGGATTGTACAGAGTTGATTATGAAAATGGAGATTTTGAGGACATGGAGTGTACGGAACTACGCGACTTTCTTCTTGCGGAGGGTGATTTCGATGAGGAGCTTATTGCCAGGAAGGTGAAGTTAGACAAGTTGATCTCTACATGCGATTCAAAGACACCACACGAGAAAATACAGCACCAGACAGTAGTATCTGCAAATAGCTTTGAGAGGTCTGAAGCACCTTGTGTCAGTAGGTTGAGTACTGAACTTGAATCTTGTTTCCAGAAGGGTCCTGAATCAGGTGGGGTTCAAGTTGATGGTGATGCCGACTCTTCTACTGATTCCTGTGAATACATTCGAATACAGGAATCCTTGTTAGAGGCTGAGAGTCCTCTTCTTCCGCCACCACCACCATTGCCTCCTTCCTCGGGCAATATAGGTGTGCCGCAGGAATTTGTTTCTCAACTGTTTTCTGTGTACAATTTCCTGCGTTCGTTTAGTATACAACTATTTTTAAGCCCATTTGGACTGGACGATTTTGTGGGTTCTCTTAATTGTGCTGCCCCCAACACTTTGTTGGATGCCATTCATGTTGCCCTCATGCGTGCACTGAAACGGCATCTTCAGATGCTTTCCTCTGATGGCGCAGAACTTGCATCAAAATGCCTGAGGTCTCTCTCTCTTTCTCTCTAATTGTATGTTCTAAGAATTGTCTTGTTGTTGATGGATCATTATTTTTGGTTTGTCCACATGGTACCTTGGATTTCATGTTTTTTTTTTTTTTCCTTTTTCATGGGCTAAAACTTAGAAATAATATAGCTTTATTGTCGGCAGACGTCTTGATTGGAGCTTGCTTGACACATTGACATGGCCAGTTTACCTGGTTGAGTTTCTTCTGGTGATGGGGTACACAAATGGGCCGGACTGGAAGGGATTTTGTACTGATGTTTTAAACAAGGAATACTACATCTTGTCTGCATCTAGGAAGCTGATGATCCTGCAGATCTTGTGTGATGATATCATCGAATCAGCAGAACTAAGAACTGAAATTGATATGAGAGAAAAAGTGGAAGTGGGGACAGATTCTGACAGGAATGCAAGGATGTCCGCTGAAAATTGTCCAAGAAGAGTTCATCCCAGATATTCTAAGACCTCAGCTTGCAAAGACTCAGAAGCTATGGAGATAGTATCTGACAAATCTCATGACTCAAAGTCACCATGTCAATCAAGTTCTTTACTTAAAGTTCCTGGAGTGGATATGAATGTTGTTGATGTTGATCCAGATGAGAATAGTGATGAATGTCGCCTTTGTGGCATGGATGGGACCTTGATTTGCTGTGATGGTTGCCCTTCAGCTTACCATTCAAGATGCATTGGTCTGAGCAAAATACATTTACCCGAAGGGTCATGGTTTTGTCCAGAATGTGCAATTAATAAAATAGGACCAAATTTCAGAATAGGAACAGGGTTAAAGCAAGCGGAATTTTTTGGTATTGATCCATATGAGCAGGTTTTTTTGGGTACTTGCAATCACTTACTTGTGTAAGTCCTCTGACTCATTTATTCCTTTAAAATAATCCTTTTTCTAGTTAACATATATTTGAAATGCAACATAGCCCTCACATTCTTTTTTTCCCCAAGATTGCTTCTTTCCTGTTGACAGTGTGATATCTGGCTGTCGGACACTAATCCAGTGCTAACACTTACATATTTTAAACTTCTCTACAAGGTTTATGCTTTCTTGTTTATGAACTATTAAATGAATATTTTCAGGCTCAAGGTCTCAATCCACGAAGGACCATCTTGCAGATACTACAACCAGAATGATGTTCCAAAGGTCTTGCAGGTACTTTGTTCATCTGTTGAGCATACTGTGATGTACTCAGCCATATGTAAGGGCATTTTAAAATATTGGGGATTCCCAGAAGACACTAAATTTTCTTTTCCTGAAAGAAGGGAAAATACCATAGATGAAAGGGAAGATGCAATGGTTTCTGCTCTGTCTTATAATCTTTCTGGAAAGGACAATGCAAGTGGTGTAACTGAAAGCAACATGGAGGACAAAACACTATTGGGTCGGGAGAATGATTGGCAAGAACTTTGCTATGTCTCTTTGGATAAAATTAGCCATGTAGAACTTCCTAGTCTCAGCAAAGGTAACGGTGCTACAACTGAACAGGTTTCTGAAGTCATAAACACAAAACTCCATGATCAGTTTGGGGCTGATTCTCTGATGTCTGCTGGGTCAATCTGCCTGCAGGCCGACCCTTCTGACTTGCCATATCAAATCTCAGCTGATAAGTCAATTATGTTAAAGTTTCCTACATGTACCTCAGAAAACATGCAGGGTTCTAAAAAGGAAGATGCAGATGTTATAAGTCTTCCAGCAATAAATGGTCCTTTTAGCATGTCTTATGAAAGCAAAGAAGTTAAACATAGTGGCAATGGGAGAAGTAAAGCAGTAGTGGTTGATGACTGCTCTTATATGGGGTACACTTTTAAACCTCAGGCTTATGTGAATCTGTATATCCTTGGTGATGTTGCAGCATCTGCGGCTGCAAATCTGGCTGTTCTTTCATCTGATGAAAATAATATTTCTGGTTCACAATCTTCAATTAATCCCAGAAAACTCGTGTCTGCAAATGTATCATTGCAGATAAAAGCATTTTCTTCAGCAGTCTTTCATTTTTTCTGGCCAAATTCTGAAAAGAAACTTATGGAGATCCCAAGGGAAAGATGTGGTTGGTGTCTTTCATGCAAGGCTCCCATTACAAGCAAGAAAGGATGTTTATTAAATTTAACTGCCTCAAATGCTATAAAAGGACCTATGAAGATTCTTGGTGGTCTTCGTTCCCTAAAGAGTGCAGAGGGAAATATCCATTGTATTGCAACATATATTTTATGCATGGAACAGAGCTTGCGTGGCCTTACAATTGGTCCTTTTCTAACCTCAAGTTATAGAAAGCAATGGCGTAAACAAGTTGAACAAGCATCAACTTGCACTGCATTAAAGTCTCTTTTGCTTGAAGTAAGCACTTTTCTCTTTCCTTTTTTTTTCTAGTTAAAATTTTGTTCCAGTTAGCATTATTTATAACTACTTTTCTTTTTTTTCTTTTTATAAATGCAAATATAAGTATACTTTCTTATAGAATTAAAAGTGTAATTTGATCTACATAACTTGTTAAGAGTTCTTCTCTACCTTTGGCATCTTAACTCTGTTGACAATCATATGTTACGGAATGCACATATATTTTCTCTGCTCCACCCCAGTTAATCACCCTTAAAACTTGTGCTCCATTATCCCTTTGAATCTTCCCTCCTTGTCCATTGACTGCACCAATCCAACTTCTCTAGTCCAGCCCAGTGCCTTTCTTGTCGCTATCTGAGCCCAACCCAACTTGTATTTTTCTCTTTTGCTAATGAAACCTCTTTTAATATTTCTGTTCAAAAGAAAGGGCAGATCAAGTTTACTAATATGTCCACAACCCTTGACAAATGAACCAGAGAAGGTGGGTTGAATGAATTAGAAAGAAGTGAGGGGGAGGTAGTTGATATAATTAGTATGCAATTGCTTCATATGAGAACGAGATGCTGTTTAAAAAGTATGTACTGAACTACTGAAGAGAAAGGGCAGTTCAGGTCAGAGGAGATCAAGGTTCAAAATAGCACATTGTATTGGTATGTATCATATGATATGCATTGGTTTTTGAACCCACTGCAACACTGAATAGATTTATGTTTAAACATTTGAACCCCATGCTTATTAAAAAAGCATTATAACACCTTCTCACATGTTTATTTTAAAAAGCTAAGGCTGAAAAACTAAAACAAAATACTATCAGCTTTTTGAATCACATGATATGCAAAAATTGCATATCCCACATGTTGATACTTCGAACCATGGAGCAGATTTTATTCATCTAGAGGTGGTGAAGGAAAAGGAGAAGATGGGAGATCTAAAAGTCAAAGACTTTTACATCCTTGGATTGTGGATAGTTTGTCTGTTATGTAGTTATGCATGACAAATGGTTCCTGAARTCAGGATGGATACTATTCATGTAGAAGGTAGAGGGAAAGACTAAAACATCCTTGGATTGTGAGAGGTGGTGAAGGAAAAGGAGAAGATGGGAGATCTAAAAGTCAAGACTTTTACATCCTTGGATTGTGGATAGTTTGTCTGTTATGTAGTTATGCATGACAAATGGTTCCTGAARTCAGGATGGATACTATTCATGTAGAAGGTAGAGGGAAAGACTAAAACATCCTTGGATTGTGAGAGGTGGTGAAGGAAAAGGAGAAGATGGGAGATCTAAAAGTCAAGACTTTTACATCCTTGGATTGTGGATAGTTTGTCTGTTATGTAGTTATGCATGACAAATGGTTCCTGAAATCAGGATGGATACTATTCATGTAGAAGGTAGAGGGAAAGACTAAAACATCCTTGGATTGTGAGAGGTTTGCCTATGCATTTCTTTTGGAGATAGCAGGAAAATTTTTTGCAGGTTCAGGTAGTGTTGTTTTGAGGTTATGGGGTTTACTGTTAGTTGGTATTTAGAGCATTGGTTGTTCTTGTCTTCATTTCCTAGTTGTTACTGAAACGGGTAGTTATTTGTTGTGTGTTATATAGATTCAGCTGTTCCTTTTCTTTCTTTCTTAAGGGTAATTGCATATGTTATATTAGATCTGAATAAAAGGTGTGATGATCTACTCTGGCCTTTAAATTATGTATAAGAGTTAATGCTATACAAAAACATTATTTGAATCCGTTCTTCTGCAAAGTCATCTACCTCATCTGAATTAAGGTGTGGTCTGTTCCCTAGTCTTTTTGAGAAAGTGAATCAGTCCCAAAGGTTTGCCACTGGCAATTTGGTTTCAACATAATGCCTTAGTTGAGCAATGGAAAACAAAGAAAACATGGTGCTTGGCCATTGTGGCTCTGGTGAGAAGCACAATAAACACACCATAGATACCATCTTCACTTGGGGAATGTTTGGCTGCATTGTTTGGAAGGTTGCTTTTCTTATTGTTTTGGCATGTACATCCTTATTATCCAACTTGGCTGATTGAAAACAAGCAAGAGAGTATAAGAGAGGTGATAAGATATCACCCGGAAACAAAAAGAAAATCCTAGAACCAGCTTCCCTCCTCTAAACAAACTTTCCAAACCCCAAAAAGAAAAAAAAAACTATCTCAATCAAAGCATCAAGAACCCTATGAACATGGCAAACTTAAAACTCAAACCTGCTTATTCAGCTTTTTGTAATCTTTGCTTCTACTAAAGACTTTCTTTATTTTCTTCACCTTCTTACTAGGCCCAACCCCAAATAGTCCCACTTTCAATCTGGCAAAAACTTTCGGCACCTGAATAGTTTAGTGGTTTCTTTGACTTTTGAACCGTCCTACTACATTGGCAATCTTATCCTCTTTCTGATTTGTAGAGTTTGCATTGATCATTTCTAACTCCAGCTGTGTTCTCAAAGAGGACACTACCACAGGCTTACCCTGCATAACCACACAACTGCTAACAGCCCATACTGCCCTTGTTAACCTTTCCTGCATATACCAAACCTGACCAAAATGGTTTCTTCCCTATGTTTGTAAGATTTGAGTTTATTAGGGTTGAATTGAGACATGAGTCTGGATTAGTTGAATGTATCAGAAACACCTGTTACTTGCTATTAACTTTTCATAGCACAGTGATACTTTAATGTTGGATCATTTATATTATACAATTACGAATATGGGTAAACATGAATAGAACCAAAGGATAAGAAAAAATAAAGGAGAAAAGGATCTGTTTTATTTTTATTGGGTAGTGAAGAATTTCTTTAGTTGATGGTCTTACATGATTGGTTGCTGCTTTTCTGTATGTCATATTGGATGTATCAGCCTGTTTCATTGCAAGGTTTTCTCTGTTTGTTTCCTGTCTTGGAATACTTGATTTGTGCTTTCACTTTGATGTCTCTTTCAACAAAGGTTTTATGTTACTGAAAAGAATGCCTTTTGAACTGTGAAAGAGGATAAGATGCAGGTATCTGTGTCCTTTGGTAGTTTTTGGATTTGTATCTGTGTCATTGGTATTTCACATGCATACTGTGTCTCATGGCATTAAGGTATACTTAACAACAAACTTACTTTCTTTTCCTTCTTTCAGCTTGAGGAGAATATCCGTCCACTTGCTTTTACTGGGGGCTGGGTTAAGCTGGTTGATGATTGGTCAGTTGAGTTTTCTGTGTCTCAAAGTGCAAGTCACCATGTTGGACCAACTCAGAAGCGTGGACCAGGTGGGAGGCGGAGCAGGAAACAATCCATGACATCCGAGATAACAAGTTATACCTGCCAAGACAATCTGAGGGATGTCAACTGGTGGCGAGGAGGGAAGCTCTCAAAGTTCATATTTCAGAAAGGGATTTTACCATGCTCGGTAGTTAAAAAAGCAGCTAGGCAAGGTAAAGGATTATTTTAGAATGTATATGACAATGCTTCTTCTGGCTCTCTTGTAGACATCACTTGTATTTGTATAACCTCAGGTGGATCTAGGAAGATTTCTGGTATTTATTATGCTGAAGGTTTTGATATTCCTAAAAGAAGTAGGCGTTTTGCTTGGAGAGCTGCAGTAGAAATGAGTAACAATGCATCACAGCTTGCACTTCAGGTTGTCATTTGAGTTTTATGTTCTAAGGCCATATATTTCCATCTTCATTCTGCCTCTAGCTTTGCTATTGCTTGGCTTTTCTTAAATAGTATCCACCTTCCTGGCATTTCAGACCTGTATGTTTATACTGCTCATGTATTTTAATTTTAATGCATGTTAAAACTTGTTATGTGCATCAGGTCAGATACCTTGACCTACATATACGGTGGAGTGATCTACTTCGTCCTGAGCAGAAGCTTCAAGATGGAAAAGGGCCAGAGACTGAAATTTCTGCTTTCAGAAATGCAGTCATTTGTGATAAGAAAATTCAGCATACTAAGATCAGATATGGAGTAGTTTTTGCTAACCAGAAGCATCTCCCATCTCGTGTTTTGAAGAACATTCTAGAATCAGAGCAGATCCAAGATGGAGAGGACAAGTTTTGGTTTTGTGAAACTCACATCCCTTTATATCTAATTAAAGAATATGAAGGGACGGCTGAGAAGGTGTCTGTGCCATCAGCTAAGGGCTCACATTTATTATCCAACTTACAAAGAATACAGTTAAAAGCTTCTCGAAAGGATATATTCTCATATCTTTTGTGCAAGGTAGAGAAGCTAGACAAATGTGCTTGTGCCTCGTGCCAACAAGATGTCTTACTCGGGTATCTATTATTTATTGTTTTTAACTTATTGCTGATTTCCCAAAATTTTCACTTTTGTCACAAACTGCCTTCATTTAAATTACTATAAAATTTCTGTCAGTTTGTATAACTGGGTTTTCTATATGGTTTACAGGAATGCAGTGAAGTGCAGTTCATGTCAAGGTATAAAAATCTCTCAGTTAGACCCCTCACTCCTTCCATACAAAATGTTATGATAAACCTACACTCTGTATGCTCTACATGGTGATCATCTTCCAACTGAATGTCATGGAATGTGTTTTTTACAATTTAACCAACATGATCTGCCATCTGAAATCTGATTGCATGTTTGCATTCATTGACATGTAATATTCATAGGTTGAGCATTAGCAATGGCCTGAGCAAGGTCCAAAGTATCTGGCGTATCGTATCGTATCTTTTGGTCTTGATACACCTATTTACAGGTGTTTCGGGACCCCATTTATTTCAATAAAAAACCACTTAAAAAACATCTCCAAAAATCAAAATTTGAAAAAAAAACTAAAAACAATAATAATTAAGTGGTGAGTTTTTAGTACCGATATGCCCCTGCCGATACACAGGGGCGTATCGATACTTTGAACCTTGGGCCTGAGCACAGCAGGGTTTTTAGTTGCTTGTTTCTCACATTCAAGCAGAGAAAGTCAATTTAATAGATTGACAATGCCTATGTAAGGAGAGCAAATCCTTGTACATGTAGTCCCAGTAAGGTTGGAACTCCAATACGTTTCATGTTTCTTTAGCCAGAAAAGATACACAAGTACTTGCACCATGAGCAAGCTGTGCAAAATCCCTTTTCTTTCAGGTAGTAAATAACATGTGAGATGGCTCATGGTATTTGTTTATTATTGATGATGAGTGGTGTATGATATGCTCAGCTTGTTGAAAATACTTTTCTTAGTAGTCTTTGGATGTTCACTCCATCATATGTTTTAAATGTCCTACCTGGTGAGTTCACTTGCTGCTGTATTCTGGCCAGGGTTTTGTCACAAGGAATGTACCATAACTTCAAAAGTTCATATGAATGATACTCTGGAGTTTTTGATCACTTGCAACCAGTGTTACTGTGCCAAAATTGTCACAGTGAATGAGATAAGTAAAAAGTCTCCAATCAGTCAAGTGCCATTTCAAGAGCAAAAAAGGCAGAATGTAGAAGCAGTGGTTGGTAAAGGTTCGTTTCAAAATGGGCATCTTCAATCACTATTCTCTGGAAATATGGGGATCCCTCAAGAAACGAAGCCACCTACACTTAAGTCTAATTTGGAAACCAGAGGTCGGCGTGTGACAGGTCCTTCCTATGGTCTTATATGGAGGAAAAACAATGAGGAGACTGGCGAAGATTTCAGGCTCCGCAACATTCTTTTTAAAGGGAATGCAGATACAGACTTGTCAATAAGACCCATTTGTCATCTCTGCCGCAAACCATATGATCATGATCTAATGTATATCTGCTGTGAAACTTGCAGAAGTAAGCCTACATAAGATTTTACATTTTTTGAATTTGTCTTGTACTTGTGTTCACATATTGGATTTGTTTCTTTTTGTAGGGTGGTATCATGCTGATGCTCTTCAGCTGGAGGAATCCAAAATTTTGGAGGTAGTGGGATTTCGTTGCTGCAGGTGCCGTAGAAACCGCTTGCCGATATGCCCCTATATGGATCCAGAATGTAGGAGGAAACGATGTGTGAGGGCTTCAAAGCGATCTAGTACAGGAACAGACTCCATCTCCAGAACCATCTGCACACAACTTGAAGGACAGGAAATTAGTACACCAGACACAAAGATGGAAGATGCTGTCATAGAAGATGATGATTCCCTTGTTTTCTCTCTTGAAAGGGTTGTACCAATCACTGAACCTGCATCAGAAATTGGAGATGAATCATATACTACTGGGTCACAGAAACTCCCAGTCAAAAGGCACATAAAAAATGAAATAAATTCAGATGTTTCCGACCTAAATTCAGTTCCATCACAAGTGGTATCCACACTTGAAACTAACAATCTTTTGAGTGCTACAGAGAGAGCATCATCTCCTCAAGTGGGATGGAAGTTTCCCACTGATGGTGTTAAAGATGAGATCATTGACATGATTGACTATGAAAGCTTGAACTATGAGGACATGGAGTTTGAATCAACATACTTCACTTTGGCATCAGAAGATAACGGATTGGATCCATTTGATGCATCCATGGACATTTCAGGGAATTGGGGCAATTCCTCTTTTAGTGGTGCAATTGCATCCTACAATCCACCTGAACAGTATGGAATTGATACTGCAGAAGGTAATCAAGATTTTACTAAATCTTCAGAACCCATTGTTAGCAGAATGCTTTGTAAGATATGTTCAAGCACAGAACCAGCTCCCGACCTTTCCTGTGAGATTTGTGGGATCTGGATACACTGCCATTGTTCACCATGGGATGAGAGTTCTTCTGGGGCAGACAGATGGAGGTGTGGTTACTGTCGGGATTGGCGATAGTTGGGCTGTTTGTTTGGCCCTGCAGTTTTTGGCTTTCTATTCTCTTCTTGCAGAGAGGTTTGCCACTGGAGAGCTTAAATTGGCCATAACTAACCTTTCTGCAATAGCAAGCCAGGGTCTTTGGAACTCTGCCAGTGAGGGTGCTCAGAAACAACAATGAAAGATAATTCGTCCTTGTTTGGAAGGAGCAGAATTTTGGAGCAATTCCCTCACAAAAAAGCTTTACAAAAGTGACAGATGGATAATGATTAGTTCCAGAGGCCCCTTAATTTATTTATTTTTGAATAAATCAGGGTTCAGGCACTTGGGGACATGCCAAGATGATGGTTCCTGCTGCTTGAGAATAACCTAGTTTCCTTCGTGGGCACTTGGGGTTTTACTAACTAGTCTAGTTAGTTTGATAGGTAAACTCGTGGACTTCCCTACTAAAATTTGATAATTAATGGCCTGAATCAGTTCTAGGGGCATTGGGGTCATCTTTCACTTCTATGGTCTTGACTCCAATATTAAAAGATAAGCAGATTTTTGCTGGTGCTTATCATGTATGAGATGTGTACATCAATCCTATGTTCCTGTTAGAGTGGGAGATGGAAGATTCTTGAATCGAACAAGATTCTTTTTTGCAAGATGGATTTTTGCAAAATATATATTTGTTTTGCTCCAAAATGGTTACTCCTATAAGTATGTTGTTATTGTGAATGCCTGTGTAATGGAGTGATTTAGGCTCAGTTTTGTAATAAAAAGGAAAATTTATGTTTTATGTTTTTTAATTTTAAAAATTAAAAGAACAAAAAAAATTGAGGATTGGGAAGCAAACGGAGGAAGAATGGGAATAAGCTGCGGATCAAGACTCCGTTTTATACATGTTTTAGGAGAGGCCCATGCATGCATAGACTGGAATTAAAAGATGCCCATGTTTTTGGTGAGGGACTGATTAGATTTGAGTTTCCTAATGGATGGAAACTGAATTAGTTATTTTGTTCTTTTGCGGGCATAAAGGAAACTGAATTAGTTATGGGTGAGTTTAAATGATTGAATTTTTTTTTCAAAAATTCAAAATAATGACAATTTTTTAAGGGAGTGATTAGATAGAGATTCCTAACGAAAAGGAAGCTGGATTAATTGTGGGTGAGTTAAATAGTCTCATGTTTAATGTTGTATTTTTTTAAACATTTTGAAAAGTAGTAAAATTACAAAATTTTTAGGAGTTGGGAAGCAAAGGGAGGTGGGAGAGTAAGTTGACAGACCACTTCATTTTATGTGTAAACTAACTAGTCGGGTAGCTTGATTACTGGCCCGACCCAACTTGATTTGGTCGGTTTTTTTTCACCATTGGTCGGTTTTGGATTGTAAAGAGGGCTAAATCAATAATTCAGTTCGGTTTTGGTTTTTGTGTAAAAACCGGAGTTGAACTGAAACGAACCGTGTAAGTTAGTTTCTGATTTCATAGTCTTTCCCTAACTAGGAATCCTTATCTTAGTCTATTCTTTCTAGTTAGTTACTTATTTTTAGCATTAAATAGCAATAAAACACTAGTTAAATGGGATTTATGTCTTTAGGATTGTTTTCCTTTTTTGAGTAGGGAATTTTTCACCAAATATAAGGCTGTTCACAAACAATGCCAAACCGACCAAGTTGACCCTTCATGTTTGGATTGGTTTTGCTTAATGGCAGGTTGGTTTCGGTTTGCTCTTTAAGTAACCCGATTAGGTCAAGTTGGTTGAAAAAAAATATATTAAACTGACCCAACCTGACCCATGAACAGCCCTACCATTACAAGTGGTATGTTATTGATGGTGAACTGAATAATATTGTTTCATTGATTTTTTTTTTTGAAATAAAACAGGATTGCACTACACACAACGGGGGTAGTGCGCCCCCAAATATCAGCAAAACAAATAAGAAGAGAGGAAGGGAAGCTAAGCTAAAAACTAAGGAGTCCGACAAAGAAATTTGTGCCTCATTAGCCAATCTACCACTTGGTTAGCTTCTTGGAAAATGTGCTGGTACGATAGACCTCTACTAATAATGCTTCTCAGCTTCCATGGAGGCTCCACCTTCTGGTTGAGACAAGAGACGGTCAACTTTGAATCACCCTCGATGGTGATTGGGTGGGTATTCCCTGAAATTCAGAGCTAAATTATGGGCTTCTCATTTTACTTGGTCTATAGTGTAAATTCCAAGTTTATATGCTTTAACATCCAATACACGACAGCAATGCTAACAACAATACACATCCCATCATTAAAGCGTGAGGCATTAAGATTTATTTTTATATTGCCCAGATTAGTTTCCAAAATTTTACTTCTCTAATATTTCCTATCGTAATCCACTACTCAAGTAAGGTGTGATCATTTTCATTTGGACCCTAATAGTGATCCATAGTTGTTTTGTGTGTGAGAAGTTCTTAAAAATGTGTACAGTATCTATCTCATCTCCACAGAAATTGCAAGAGACATCAATGTCTAATCCTCTTTTCCTTGACTGGATTTTTGTATGGAGCTTATTTTTAAGAAGCAAATAGAAGAAAGTTTTGATTTTTGGAGGGCATTTGATGTTCAAATATTTGCTAACCAATTCGTATAATTATTAGGCCCTAGAATAGAAGAGCATTTTCAGCAGATAATCTGATTTAATGGTAAAGGATTTGGTAGGATTACACTCCTAGATAGCTTTGTTCTCCATATAGTTAGGTGAAATAAAGATTGGCCTAATTTCCTACCACAAATGGTCGGGGACGTTAGCTCGAATTTTAACCTCATTCCAACACACTCTCTCTCAAAATCAATCATGTCTGAGATCCTGAGGTTCCTGCTAGTTTTTTTTTTCTTTTTTTTTTTGTTTAGAGAAGAATTTCTTGAATGCTTTTGGTATTTACGTCTACTGACCCTGATCCACCCCTCATCTTGATTGGATTTCAGGAGAGGTATTTCAAGGACAAAAGGTCTGTTAAGGTCAACCCTTACACAGACCCTTGAAAACATTGTGCAGGACATCTTTGTGATGATATCAAGCTTAAGCACCTCCCCGACATCTCTTAAACTATGACTTTAAGATCATCACTGGACCAGAACTCCGGTGGCAATCCCGGTAATCTAATCCACAGACCAGCCATTTCAAGCTTGGATTTCAGGGGGTGTTATAGCCAGGTTTCCAAGGGATAGTTACCAGGTATTTCCCATTAACCATCCATGGGCCATTTTTTGTTACGTTATTGTAGTTCGCAAGAGAGGAGAAAGTGATTAGATAAAAGCCGTTACCTATTGTTTGGACTTTTGTTTCATTGATTCAAGCATGGTGAAAGATAATAATAAACGAGGATGTGTTTTGAGTAACACATTTCCTTTCGCTATTATAGAATTCATGGAGAAAGTGAAGCAGGAGCCTGCAAATGATTTGCTATACTTGCCACGTTCATTTATTTGCGAATGGCCATCGAGTGATTTCATTCTTTTTTTTTTTTTTTGATAAACCTGTGACTTCATTCTTTTGAAATTTGAATCACATTTGTGCACATCAAGTGTTGCTACTTTCTAGCACACCTCAAGATTATAAGAAGGCACTGCATAAAAAACAACACAAAAAAAGTAATTTATAATTATGCCCCGTTCGCTTTTCGGTAAGTCGCTTACCTGGGTAAATGTACTTATTTGTGTAACTGTTTTTCAGGAAAGATTTACCCGAGTAAGTGCATTTTCCCATGTTCTTTTATTTTCAATGTAAATAAGGTAATGGCAATCTTAACCATAAAAATTCCATTATTAAAAGGGGTATTTTTGTCCCATCCATGTATTGACAGCTTTCCCATAGATGATAAAGTTTACCCACCTAGGAGATGGGTATTGATGAGGGTGGATTTGACCCTCCAGTGACATCATGACACAGTATCTCAGAACAGTTGGATGACACCTCGACACTACCTAGACAATGACTTGCCTTAGCCAAAATAGTGGAGTCCGATCTGGCGACTTGCCTCTGTTGCTGACCTGGTAAGAGTCTAGCTGGCGACCTTGTCCACAACTCAGGGCGGCTTGCAGCACCTCGTCCAGGGACGACCTATGGCACCTCGTCAGTACCGGTTGAAGTGACCTCGAGAGGAGCGACCTCCCTTAAAGGCTTGCTGACCTGATTGAGGTCCAGGTGGCGACCTGTGAGATGCGCTTGCTAACCAATTCTACATACATATCCCGTCACTCCCGGGTTTCTTGGAAGTTGGCCCCCACACCGAATGTTTTGGAGGAAACCAAACAAGGCGTGAAGACTGGTCTATGTGCACGGTTACCTCCGATGACATTGGACCGGTTAGGCACGTCTTCTTGGAGACTTTGGACGCAATGCGTGAACCCCACACCAAACAATGCCTATATAAAGGCACCAATCCCAATGACACAAGGTATGCACGATTATTTGCTCACTATCTTACTAGCATACAAACTTTCACATCGTACAACTCAGTACTAACTTAAGCATTGAAGCAACCACACCAGGTAAACCACCTTGGGTCCTTTGACACTGATTCCTTGCAGATCTATCTGAAGAGCTACACAGCTCAACAATCTAACCTAGCTCGGCACCCGAACAACCTCCTAATTCGGCCCAGTCGGTTTGACATCCAAACCTTCATTCAACAGAAATCCTCCAGCTCGACCTCTGAATCATCAGCCACCAGGAAGTAGCTAGATAACTAGGGAGCAACCAGATCGTCCACCATCAATTGGCACCGTCTGTGGGAAATACAACAAAAAGCTAAGTTCTCACCTTCTAGTTTTCACCTTTATCAACTCAATGACATTTTTTAGCAGCACCTACATCAAGAACGAAGTGTAAGTTACTAGGGGCAAGAGCACTCGTGATGAACCTTGAGAACCCCTCTATGACAATCAAGTTCAGTGCCCCTAGCACTTCCTGAAGTAGCAACCGTGTCGAACACAACACTCTCATTACCCCAGACAAACATACCGCTACCTCATGTGAACGCCCCTCTCCCCGCGGTAGAGCCATTTTCCCGCCGGGATTGAAGCACGCCAGTTCTTTGAGCTGAAGCATGAATCTCCAAATGTGGGCATGGGAGGAGAAGTTCGGTGCATTCATTCTGCACAGAATAATTAGTAGTAGAATGACCTCAACGACCAATAGTCCGATGATAGGCACCTCGGAGTAAGGCCGGCCCCGCAGAATAATCAGCAGTAGAATGACCTCAACGACCAGCAGTCTGGCGATAGGCACCTCAACGACCAGCAGTCTGGCGATAGGCACCTCAATGACCAGCAGTCCCGCGAGAGTTGATGGTCAACAGACTGAGCAGCTTTACCGACCTCAATTCAGCCTAGACGAGCCTCGTTAGCCCTCTTCGCGAGGTCTCCCCTACAGGTTGAGCCTTTCGCGGCTCCCGCGGGAGTCAACGACCTATAGACTGTGCGAACGCCCTTGCGGGTCAAGCTTTTCAAGCCTCCCGTGCAAGTTGGCGACCTACAGTTAGTAGAGCTGCCCCCATAGGTCGAGCTCCCTATGGCTTCTCGTAAGAATAGACGACTAGCGTCTTCGAGGGCTGATGTCGTTTAGCCATGGCATCAACCTACCGTCCAACACAGGGAGTAATGTATGTATCAACAAAACTCACAAGTAGAACATAAATGAACAACCAGCCCGAGCAAGCCTTAGCGATCTGGCCTAGATTGTCTCTAGCCCGAACTGCGAAGCCTCATTACTGATCGAGCTCTTCATGGCTCCCCTGAGAGTTGGAAGTGAACTGAATGTGGAACCGGCCTCATAGGTCGAGCATTTCGTGGTTCCCATGAGAGTAGGTGACCCGTAAACAGTAGAGCCACCCCTCAAGGTTAGCCTCCCATAGCTCTAGTAGGAGCGGGCGGCCAACAGTTCTAGGAGCAGGTGCAGTACATGTACGCCATGGTCTCGCAAGCACCTACCCAAGGAAGCCAATCCCACGCGATGGCATAGAAGCAGCCACATTCACAGTTACTACGGAACGGCCATCCGCTTTGGCGACCTGGTCAAGTTGAGTTATAAGGGAAAGCCATACCGCTTTTTAGCCAAGGCACCCTCAAGCCAACTTCAAAAACACGAATAGCAACAGGTAGACTAATCTAAGTAGATCGACCCCCTGTTTATCTAGCTCAATAACACACGTAAATTGATCTCAAAGGACATCATCATTTCACCACCAATTTAAAAGAGAGAGAGAGAAAAAAAATGAAGGGAATACTTCTAACCAAACATAACCTGAAAGATGCCTTATTTCTCATTAATTGGACCCTTAGAATCCACGTTTCCAAGGCAAATCCTGAAGTTTTCCCAACAAAAAAAAAATAATAATAATAAATCCATCTGTGAAACTTAAAACACTGAAATCCAGCCAACAACCATTATATGGACTAGGAGAAACACTTTCATTGAAAAGCTAATAGAGTGAATAAGGATTTATTTCCATGATTTACCTATCAAACAACAAAAAAAACAAACAATATGGACATTGATTTACCTATCAAAAAGAAAAAAAAAACAGGCATTATTTATCTATCTATGGGCATTGATTATAGTTAAGGGAAACTGCAGAAATTTTTCATGAGGATGACGTGGGCTCCATGAAGCTTGAAGTAGTGGATTGGGAGCGACCTGATGAGGTAGTCACGCGGTTAGAAGCCCCTCTTGAGGACGGCATGACGAACTTCGCTCTTGAGATATAGGGCTGAATTGCAAAACTCTTTGATAGCTGCATCCCTAGTAAGGTAGATGTCCTCGGAGTACCTTGCTTCGCCTCTCCTCGAGTAGATGAATTCGCTCTTACGCCCCGATAATCGAGATGGTGAGGTCCTGCATAAGTTTGCATTCAACACTTAGACTCTTCCAGCTTGGGGAACAAACTGGATTGACGTCTACGGCTACGAGTTCATCAAATTAGTCACTCCGGGCCAAAGAAACAAGCTACTCCCTTCGCCGAGCTGATCTTAGTGGGGGGCAATTGATGATGGTAGATTTGGCCCTCCAATGACATCATGACACATGGCATCTCATATAACTAGATGACACCTCGATACCACCTAGACGATGACTTGCCTTAGCCAAAGTAATGGAGCCTGACCTGGCAACCTACCTTTGTCGCCGACCTAGTGGGAATCTAGCTGGCAACCTCATCCACAACTTAGGGTGGTTTGCAACACCTCGTCTAGGGTAGACCTGTGGCACCTCATTAGTACCGACCGAAGTGACTTCGATGAGAAGCGACCTCCCTCAAGGGCTTGCCGACCTGATTGAGGTCCAGGTGGTGACCTACAAGACATGTTCGTCGACTAACTCTGCATGCATATCCCGTCTTTCCCGGGTTTTGCGAAAGTTGGCCCTCGCACCGAATGTTTCGGAGGAAACCGAACAAGGCGCGAAGATTGGTTTATGTGCACGGTTACCTCTGAGGACTTCAGACCGGTTAGACACATCTTCCCAGAGACCTCAGACACAATGCATGAAGCCCACACCAAACAATGCCTATATAAAGGCACCAACCCCAATGACACGATACATGCGATTATTTGCTCACTAGCTTACTAGCATACAAACTTTTAGCTCGCACAACTCAGTACTAACTTAAGCATCGAAGTGACCACACCGGGTAAGCCACCCTAGGTCCTCTGAGCTCTGTTTCTTTGCAATTCGACCGGCCAGCTAAGCAACTAACGTCCGAGCTGCTCTCCAGCTAGGAACTATCAAATCACGCACCATTAGGTATCACTTACCCGAATAAGTGATAGTGTGATACCCAGAAAAATAAACTTTCACTGATCCTCACATAAATCTGAAAAATGAGCATGAGTGTCTTGGTCTCCCCCCTCAAAATCCAAAAAATGAAGGTTCCCTTAGAGGAAACGTAAATTGAGTGAATTACAAGATGAACAAAAGTATGAAATACATGATCACAGACCTATATGAATGCTCAGTCAAATAAACCAAGACCGCCCAGCTTTTATTGCCAGAATTCAATAAGCAAACAGGACCATAAAGATGCAAGAGAACGACTAATAAGTCATAAAAGTAGAGATGCAAAAATCAACTCATTAACCAAGCACATCTCGTATGAGAAGCCTACGTATGAGAAACTTTTTTCTCCATTAGATTTGTTAATTGAATATGCTCGTTCATATTCCATATAAGAAGTTAGGTTACCAAAACCTTTTTTTCCCATTCCTTTTTTTCTATTAATGAATATATAAATATAGATTGTCCACAAAATGAAGACTTTTACATCCATTGTCTCGTGTATTTATCAGATTACAGAAACCCAGTGAAACCTATAATGAAAACCCAGCACCCAACAGAACACCAAGGCATCAAGTAAATGCCCTGAAAGAATGTAGAATTCAAAATTCAACTTGAAAAAATCCACTCAGATACTAAGCCGACCACAATAAGCTCATCCTCAATTCCGCCAGCCCTTGCATTGTACCATGCTCCTTATCCCACCCCTGCAATTTCAAGGCACCAATAGGTAGGATGTGTAAATCAGGTACAACCGTAGTAAAGAATCTACAAATCTGCACGTATCATCTGGTCCATTTTCTTAAAGCAAACCAGCAAGAATGGCACCAGGATCCGTTGCTCCTGTAGCTGGAATGGTCGGCTGCACCTGGGGTGGTGCTAGGGCAGGCATAGGTGAAGGTGTAGGAATGCTAACTAATTGTTCCTTGATGAACTCCTTCAACCTGTGGACAAATTGTCAGAAACTTTCCTAATCTAGCATAATAGCATATAACAGCTTAACGCAAATGACTTCAAAAGTCATAATATACTTACTCAAAAGTTAGCAATGGATCTCCTGAGGCAACCGTCATTCGGAGTTGGGTTCTGTCTGATGGATCAGTTTCAACTCTAATCTGCAATGATTCATAACAAAGTAGTTAGATATCACTGTTCACAAGAGCACAACAGGCTGATGGATTATTAATAAACAGGTTAACCTGGCCAAGAAAAGATCTTCCTGCAAATTGTTAACCTAAAACCATTTCAGTTGCTGCCCTGGTTGTGTATTGAAACTAACGAAGAACTACAAAGTTGACTGGATTAGCCCAGGTAAACTTGAAATGAGATTGGGGAAGTAGCCTAGAATTTTTAGAATCATTTGGCATGGCATTCTCATGCTAAGTGTTTTTTTTTTCTTTTCTTTTGGAGGGGAGGGGGATCATCTAAATGGCAGATAAACCTATTATTCCTTACCAAGCAAAGCATAGCACGAGTGCTCTCAGAGTAAAATGTTGTGCTTGCAACGAGATTATTTGGATTTGGATCCTGAAAGAACAATTCTAACTTTGAGCACCATTAAAGGATGAAAGGGGAAAATTCAATACGTAAAAAGAAAACAGTAACTTACAAGCCCTGGGGTAACCATCAACTGAAAGCTGTTGAATAAGTTGGCCATTTCTGGAAGAGATAATGGTTTAACTCCTCTAACCTGATCATTGCATGACAGATAAGGCAATGGAACTTGTCAAAATATCTACTATCTTTAGCAAACTAGTCTGATAACAGAGATACCAGCATGAAATAACACTGTTAAATTCAAAATAAGGTTACAGTTCCACTAACCAATTTGATCCCCAAACAGGCCTCCATTACTATTCAATCCTGAAAAGATGGTAATGTGATCATGGGCATATCTCACCACCCATATGCTCTGATTTTAGAAGATGAGATGGCACATGCCAGTATGAGTTATGCTCATTATACACAGCAACCCCATACCGTCAGATCAGAATTGGAGAGTAATGGAACTTCAACCACTCATGAAGCAAGTCAAAGTCTGGAACAAAAGCCCATACAACTAAAATGTTTATTGAGTTGCAAAATGCAAGATACCAGTCTACAGAGAGCCCTCTAATAATTAATTACTGGTGACAGAAAAAATCTTTTAGATATCACAGATTACTATCTGTGATTATTTATATTCGTCAGTTCCAGATCTGAACTTGATGTAAAAGAGAAGTAAGAGAGAGAGGGAGAGAAGAAGAGAAGGACAAATCGAAGAAGAAGAAACCTGTTCGAACCCAAGAGAAGAGAAGAGAATAGTTCAAATTCTCTCTTAGGTCAGCCAGGATATATAGTTTACTAAAATAAATAGCAAATGTCTTTTATGCCCCTGTTTAAGTTGGGACACATCAGCACTAACTAAAAGACACATCACCATATTAATAAAACTCAAATGAATATTCTACCCTTATTTAGTCGACACTAACCCTCCCCCTCAAGCTGGAGAGTATATATCATATAGTCCCAGCTTGTTACATATGTAATTGTTAGTGGTGTTAGTGAAGGGGTATTTCTCCTCTCTTATGTGCTTCACTTTCTTCTTCGCCTTCAGAAAAACCTCTACAGMCTTGGCCCAAGGGACATAATTCTCTCCATTCAGTTTAATGGAGGTCATTTGGACATTCAGGTAGTCAGTAGATATCATGACACTAGGTTTACTATCACTGTTATCTGCCATTGCCGAACTCCCTTA